ATCATCAAAAGTACTAGTGACGTACCGCCACACCGGAAGTATTTTCTTTTAAATCTCGCGCCAATTTGTCTGGAGGCAGTGCTCGCGAGCTCTAGATAGCGCGATACCTGCCTGATGTATTTATGTATGTATGTATATATGTATTATGTATTTATTTATTTACGTCAAAAACAGTTAAAAATGTGTGACGTGCTATGATGGGTGGATAAGGTAGTTTGAAGTTACTTACATTTGAAGTCTGTTCATAACTCGATCGAAAATGAACAAATTTGTTATTCCAGATCTTTACCTTAACACTTTGGATTTGGGGAGGGTAGTACGTTCCCTTTAACCTCCCTCCAGTATCCATCACAGGCTACAAGGTACTATCCATTTAAGCAACGCATTCTCACAAACAACATTGAATTTTCTAAGGGCGTATTTTGTAGTATAGCGAATAAAAACTCTTATGAGGTGTAGATTAGTATCATTACTACTGTAGATGTAGAACTGTTTTTCAGTCGCTCCATGTCAACCGATTGGCGATAATCTGCGCTCGGAAATGTTTTTCTATGTGGCGAAGTATTAAAAGCATTGGTGTAATATATAAAACTACAACAAATATACGCGAGTAAAGTATATTTTTAGTTAAGATTTGTTTATTATTTTTAGTAATAAAAGTAGAGACGTGATGGGACAAAAATCCCCCAATAAGGAAAAAAATGTAAACTTTGGTTTAGTGAAAAAAGAGATCCATGTATTTCCATGTGGGAGCAAGGCACGGCAGAGCGGGGCAGTTCTGGACGGGAATGTAGACGGACAGATGGAAGTAGACCCCGCTAGGTAACTATTCCCGGGCGGGAATAGTTATAATTCTTCTTCCTAAGACATTATTGTGATAAATATCCGGGCATCACGGGGTACATCAGTTTTGCAATAAATTCCGTTTTCTCTTAATAATACGACCAAAAACCATCGATGTTTTAAACTGGTTTAGTAATGTCTAACATGAAATGTTCGTGAAGGGCAATATTTAATTTGACACAGGCCGTGTTTATTATTTTACAATTAAGATTTAATTGAAAAAACAACGTAAAAAACTAAAAAGCATAATTAACTAAACTGAGCCTTAAAGCGCCAGCTCAGGGACATCTCAAAGGGTCAGTCCGTCCTAAGTTCGCCGGAGAAGGGGGAGGACCTACACCCACTACGGGTGCGTTCTGTGAGATACGACATCGACGTGTGAAATCAGTGGCGACCGGTGCCCCAACAGACTGGAGGTTGCACCTCTAATGAATGACAGAAATGTACTCGTAATTTCAAAAATTCAAAATACGAATATATGGATGGATGAAAACCAGAACGGTGTAAGGGACGTTTTACAAATTCTGAAAAATCTGTTTATTTAAGTCAATATTACTGTAAAGTCTTGGTGCTTTGTTTCATCATTAAAACCATGACATTTCAAATGTTCATTAAAACCATAAAAATATATCTCAACAAAAAAATTTAGCCTAAAATAAACACGTTTTCTTAGAATTTATAAAATGTCACGTATACCGTTCTGGTTTATACCCATTTACGTAATAAAACTATAAGCAAGTCAAGTAAATTAACTAAAACTAAGTTAAATAAAAGAATATATTGAAACATTACTTACATAATTTCATGTGGCGTGTCCGTTAAAGGTATAGACACCTCAGCGCACGTGGTTTTGGCTTGGTTTCCACTGGGCACGTCTGCAGCACATTGCAACAAGCACTAGTGCTTCGACACGTTTCACACAAATAAAACTATTTGATTTCTAAAACTTCTCTACCCTGGTATATATGGCAATCACGAAACAGCTTCGACACACATTCGTATTCACAAGAACGCTCGCAAACTGCTGACGGTCAGCTACAGACTGACTGGCTTCCACGAGACACTAAGGGACTTCCATCCAGAACAATCTCAATTGTAATTGTTGCAAAAACACTAGTTATTTATATATATATATATATATATATATATATATATATAATTAAATCATTTCTTTAAATTTATAAACAGTTAAATAATAATTTTAACTAAATAATATTTATTTTATAAACCGCGGGTTTATTATTTTTAATGTAATTGGTTCATATTCTAATAAAACACTATAATATTCTCATTTTAGAGTATATTGCTATTAGATTAACTTTTGTACCTTAGGCACTGCTATTGGACTCTGGCGGAAAGTATTAGGAACCATGCTCTTACCGACTGGCGAAAAATAATGATCGTGAGGCATCTACCAACGCATTCTTTAAATTATTTACTTTCTACATTTGTATCGTATTAATATTTACTAAACTTTGCAAGGCACTGCGGCAATCTTGAATAAGAGTCTGTAAAAAGTTTTGCGGATTTGCAATCAATTATCAGCTGCCCACCCAGGAGAGAATGATTACATCCATTTAATTATCTCTTTGGATACAGAATAAATGTTTTTAGAGAATTTTGAAATTAGATATTACAACCGATTTTACATATTTGTTACATACAAATGATTACCATTTTATTTACTTATTTATGTTCATTTTTTCGGACACTACTAATAACCGCATTTGACGTTCCTAGAAACATAAGTCATTCAATTCAATTTGAATCGCATTTTGGGAGTACTTGAGGGTAAAATTAATTTTACTTTTCAATTTTTGTAGTCTTTTATATTCTTACAACATTTGATTATCATTTGTACTTGGTCTAGTGAGATTTCTTTTAGCAACGGTGATAAGGAAAGGGTCAGCGCAATCAGTATGGGAAAATGTAGGAGCAGAAGGAAAGCTTCCTATTCATGAACAAATGCATACAATTATATGATCCGCAAATACAACTTCTAGTTAACATTTGATAACCATATTGAAAATCGTACGGCAGAAAGTTATAGTTTTAATTTTGAAATTACTTCACTGGGTTCGAGTCTGTGATTTGGCGATATCCTTTATTATTGTAATTCAAGTAACGGTAACCGTGCATAAGAATGTACTGTTAATAAAACTCGTTGGTGAAAATATTCTCAATTGTAATCAAACCACTCGTATACACCTTTACATTATTTTTTATACAGCATATTTATATACACTTGCAGGAATTATTGGTAACAATATCTCTCGTCGAAAAGGAATGTTTGAGTATCGCGTTTAACCCTTAAAGCGACCGTATGACTCCTCTTTAAGAGATATTTGATAAACGCTCCTTGAGCAGTTTCCATCCAGGGTTCGGTCAGGCACACTGTGCTATTAGCTGGCGGAGAGCCCGTCTTGATTTTCATAGAACCGATATGAAATATGTAGCATAGGCGTTTTATGCTCCTGACTGATCTGCAGATATGCATGGTCGTGTGGTGTTTTTATAAGTGTGTGTATACTTGTTTAAGGGGAGAGAAGCGATCGGGGATGAGGAAGGAAAGTTCGCGGCTCATTTGTTATAGAGGTATCCCCCTAGCATTGATCGACGAAATCACATAAAACTGTCGATCAGAGCAGCCGGTCTCTAGAATTCTTCTCCACACAGTCACTGAATTCGACATTGCTCTCTAGACGTTGAAAATATGCCATTGTCGGAACTCGATTTTTAGGGCCTCCCAGTCAGAGATGCTGCAATGACAACGCTTCTTCCCTTGAGTCATCTTACCCGGAAAGTAGTGTATTCTTGTAGCCTTTAACTAAATGTGAACAAAAGAATTAGATAGTGCCATTAGCGCAGCTAGGATAGGAAGTTATTAGCACTTGTTCCTCCTTCAAACAATGAGCACGAAGTGCAAAAAAATTAGTAAACATTCAAAATAGATCTGTGAAATAGTTTTACAAAAGTGCAATGTATTTTTATTGAAAAATTAATTTTTCATTTTTCATATATAATTGTAACGTGATTATTCTAAAAACGTCTTGTCCTTAGCCAAAGTCTTCCATCCTTGCAACAGACTCCCCCTTGTGCTCTCTCGCCACAGCACAGCACAGCACTTTACAATTCCTGGCTGCGTTTATGGATAGTGCGAACATGTAATTGTAATTGATTGCAGTTAAATTTGGTATTGGTGAAAATTCTTTGTGTCAATTCTCATGTTCGTGCAATTTTCTTGCGTACTTCTTTTTTTCCTCAGTCACTTAAATATAGAGAAAAAATTGATGTTGACATATGAAAATGCTTGTTTAAAAATGTTTTAGATTTTTTATCCTTTCTATGAAAATAACTTAAGATTTTACTTTTCCTATTCACCACCTCTAAAAAAAAGTATACCCTCTTTTTCTTTAGTATCTCTAGCGACACTAAATCTTTCAGCGTCAGAAACTACTATTGTATTTCGCAGTAATTTCTATTTGTCTGATAAAATCACGGAAGGAGTGTTTAAAACACAGGGAGTCTTTATTGCAATACTTCTATAAAACATGTAGTCGTTAGCTGACACACCGACCGTTTGGAAAGACAAGCATCCATCTAACATTCAGTCGTTTCGAGTAAAATGATATGAAAGCTTCATTAACTTGTAATTCAACAACTTCTTCATTTACTGTAGTGACGTTTTACAGCATCTATTTGTCCCCAGATTGCGTGAGTATGTTCTACTCGTGACAGTAATCATATAGAACCTTGTCACAATAACAAATTATTTTCTTCTATTTTGTCAGTTGGAATCTCGTTATTTTAAGGGTTTTGACGACGCATCCTTCTAACAGGGATATATTTGATATTGGAGCTCTACGTTAACAGAAGTAATTTATGTTCCACAGGGAAAAGTAAGTTTCTTGGATGTCCTATTTACCACTCGACCGTTAAAAATTACTTTTCATTCGAGGTACGTACTATAGAACATTTAGTGTACACGTCTCTGTTTATTAACGAAATTGTTAAAATTCTTGTGAATTCTGTGTGTAAAATTTGTACATCAACGAAAATGTTGGTTTAAGAAAAATTATAATCAAGTATCAAAATCGTCATAAGAGCTGATGATACTTAAAATTCGACTCGACCGTGTAACAATTAACGTTTACTTCTTACTTTTTAGCAACATTTTCTGTGTTGTCGTAGGCGTGGGCGCGCAAGGAACGTTTAGGGATGTCGTGGCCACCCTAAGAATTACACAAAGGCCGTTGGCCTACGTACAGAAGAAAACATTTTATTTCCATAAATATGGCCAATTCCTTATTTTAGTAATTTTCTATGTATAAGAACAAGATTTATCCACTTTTTCAAAATCCATGCCTAGCAATACAATTTTTTCTGTCGAAAATTCGATTCCAAGTACGTGTATTATAGAACAATTAAAATTTTAAAATTTATAAATGGAAACCTTCGGAACTAATTAAACCGTGAAATAATTATATCTCCAAATAAAAGTTGTATTAAAAAATAATGTTTTAAGAAATTTTAGATTTGAACATCGATGACTGACTGAAAAGAGAATCGCGCTTGGTCATTAGTTTAAGTTATTTTTATACCGCTGGGTAAGGTATTTTTATACATCCAGCCGGAATTAATCGAAGGAGCCGCTAATCAGAGCTGTGGGCTCTCACAACTTTCATCTTGGTGGTGTCATCGCCCGACCTACCTTATCTGTGAGCTGGAGTCGAAAATCTGCTCCCATCGAGTCTTTAACACAGGATTTGTCAGTCCAGATTCGCTCGACTTACTTACTGATAACTATTTGATTAATTTCATTTAAAAAAAAATAATGATTGAAACAGGAACAAGTAAGGATAAATAAAACACAAATGGACTTTTTTTGCCATTTATTGCACCACATTTCAGCGAACACCATACAACAACTGAAGCACTCCATTCAAAATGCCACGGAATGCGACACGTCTTAGGGTGAATTCTCAGAGGACATAGTTTATACGTTCGTATATGATAGACAGAATATATTATGTTTATGCGTATGTATAATATATATGTATATATTTATTTATATGTATATGCAGTTAATAAGAATTTGAACAGACGAGCCTCTCAGTTCTCAGTTTGGCCACCGCACGGCGCCAGCCGAGGTCCAGACGGCACACGTCTTGTCGCTAACTTACAATAAATTTGTTTCGGACCCATACCAGCTTTTTATTGAGATCTCACGGCGACTCGCGGCGCCACAAGGCGCCACACAGACGCAGTAAGCGAGTGTATCATGACAATTTATTGTCTGTTCACAATTAGATACTATTCAGAGAGCGCAACATAGGCTCTGCTGAACAATGTCTCGTAGTTTCCTTAATTAAAACAACTGCAGCGTAGTAGTAGTAGTAGTAGTACGTACATAAAACAATAGCGATACACCATAGCGGGCGCCAGCGCGGACGCGGGCGCGCGGCTGGCGAGCCACCCACGACCTCGCGGCTCGACGCAGCGCAGCACGGCACGACACGGCACGGTACGGCACGACACGGCACTGCACGGCACGGCACGGCACGGCACGGCACGGCACGGCACGGCGCGGGTGTGGGCTGTGGCATTGGTTGCGACACAGTGCAGCTTGGATGTTACTATACCCCTATTGAAATAAAAGAAGGTTCTCCTTTGTGTGCCAGTCGACGAAATCGCAAGAGAGTTCCTAGAAACAATCATTTGTATTTCTGTGTCAGAAACTGGTCAGATAGTGGTTGTCTGTGTGTTGATGAGGTTGTTTCAGTAGAGGTGTGTCGACATGTCATGTGCGTACACATATGATGTGCAAGAGGTGTGATAGTATTGATTACGCTGTCATAACCGCTCAAATAACCGGGCACCGTGTAACCGAGCGCGGTACTGTAACCGGAGGCTGCCGTCAACGTAACAGGTCCACAAGAATGATGTTTTTACGACCGGGTTCTGTGTGTCTCTAAAGACGCCTGGGCGTAGAAAGCACGCTACAGTAACCGGGCGCAACTTCATTATACATGATGCTGAAATCCGGTTCAGACAAGGCGCATCATCTTACGGGAGATGTCTGACCGGGCACTGTGTCTTACAAGGCGCCCGGGCTGAACCAGGGCGCTGAAGTACAGCCGGACGCTGGCGCAATCGGCACAGCTGCACGCGGATGTTGTGCGTGTGCGTGCGTGGGCGCAGGTGTGTGTCGTGGTGCGCGGCGCGGCGTGGAGCGGCGGGCGAGCGGGCGGCGCGCCGGAGTCGGCGACAGGCAGATAGGAGCGCGACGGAGCACCACTGCGTGCAGGGACACGAACATCCGCGAGAGGAACGGAGGGGGTGGGGGCAGGGCGCGCTTGCACGCGTTTTCCAGCCAGGGGGCGATCCGAAAGGCGGGAGTGTTTCAACACCTAGATTAGTCACGTCGATTCCGTGCAGCCATTCACGAGAATCGCAGGGCTAGGGACTCCCGGGAGCGTATTTTTCTTCTTCTGAAGAATGGATTCCGAATTTTGAGCCGAATCGTTCTGGAAGGGCGAGAGAACGTGAGAAATGGGTGCACTCCTATAATGGCAAAGTCAGTGATTTTTTTATTGTGTTCGGTTGGTCATCGTCGGTTTTTTAGGCTTCGCAACCATCACAAGAATAGCAGTTATAACAAAAATAATAATCTCCATTTGAAGTACAAAGGATTCAGCCCGGCGTCGCAAGTCGCGAGTGCTTTCGGACTGGAAACGCGCGGGCGTTCAAAAAGACGACGACGGTGCCTCGCTGTGTCTATACGATGTCTCCGAAAATACGATTGTTCCAATGATTGATTGATTCCGTTGGGCTCGCGTGTCTTCAGGACACGCGTGATTGTACAGCATCGCCCCGGCACGATTGGACACGCGCCGGGGCTGGGGCGGGCAACTCAAACGCTGACAGACTCGGTATAAAAATATTGCTAAATCATTCAACGACGGTCTCGAAAGAAAGTATACTCTTACATCTGTTTCCTCGCAACGAGCTCTGGTAGCGACTGGAGGACCGCGGAAGCAAGTCCAAACAGGGAGACAGAAGTCGGAAACGAAGGGTTAGACTGGTCCGCAAGCTCAAGGCCACACGTAAACGCACGCACGCGCACGCCATGACGTGCGCGACGCGTGCCCTTCGGGGGAAGAGGGGCGGAAGGCGAAAGCGAAGAGGGGGCGACGGAGAGAGTGACAGAGGAAGAGGGCAGGGGGCGATGAAGGAACATCGTCGGCCTCCGCCCGACGGGTGGGATGTGGCGGCGAGGGGCGGGGATGGGCGTGACGGGGCAGGGATGGAGCGAGGAGGGGCGGGGGCCGGGCTTGGGGGCGGCTGCGATGGTGCTGCCCCCGGTGGCGGCGGCGGCGGCGGCGGCGGCAGCGGTCGCCGGGGGCCGAACCGCCTTTGGCCGGGAGCTGCCCGCCCCCTACTCCTCTTCGTCCTCGTTTTGATAGGTGACGTAGCGCACCGAAGACTTCTCCCCCAGGATCAGCGACTGTGCGGGCAGACAAGAAACCTTATTAAAATGTTTTAATGAACAATATTTTTTTCAGAAAACACTAACAATACTTTACTATGACATGCAGTGTAAACTCTAGGAACACGCTGTTTCTCTAGACGATTAAGAGTTTAAGTGGTGAGTACAATACATAAGGTGATTCATTGCAGGGTAAGAAAACACCAGCGTGTTCTTCGTAATAATACCAAGTCATTTACCGTTTTGGTCTAGGAAGCATAGATTCTCGTAGATGGACATTTGCAAAACTCGAAATCCTAACAAGAAGCATGTTTTTCAAGTTTTTTGACATCTTCTCTTGCTTGTATCAGGTTGAAAAAATTGCAGAAGTGGGGGGAAGTAGTTGAATTTGAAGGTATTTTTGTCAACCAACTTTTATGTCAAATTTAAATAGAAAAAATAGAAAAGAATTGAACACACACACGTATATATATATATATATATATATATATATATATATATATATATATATTCTTAAACAATGTGGACGATAGCGAAAAATTTGAAATTCATGTCAAAATGTACTTAGATAATATTCACCATTTGAACAGTTTATATTCAAATTCATTGAAATGACTCACTAACCAACATGATTTACAACTTTTTGTTGACAAAGGTTTGTCTGTATGTGGAAAGAATTTGTTTGTATGATAAAAGAACTAAAATCATCAAACCCCTTTTGATTTTAGATTTATGTATTGTTTCTAATATAAATCAAATTACACGCTTTAGGCATATTAATCATTCTTGTTTATAATGTAAATCAAATTACTCAGTTTAAGTTTATTAATCATTGACAATTAGACAATCATAGACAATTAATCATTGTCACTTCTTCAACAACTGGAAATAAGCGTTCGTTTACAGTCTAACAAAATTTCTGACGGTTTAACATTTTTTGTCATGTAACGAGTTTGTACCAAATAATAAATGGGCAGCATCCCAGGGTGCAACGTCTGTTCGCACGTTCACAATAATATCGTTTCACTCCCGATATTCCCATGGATGAAAGCGATGCGTGGGCTCCTCCGGTGCACCGATTTTGTCTCTTTCTGCGCCGCACCAGTTTGCGTCACGAACCACGTGGTCACACGAGCTCTTCGTTAGAAAACCGAGGCCACACGTTCGCCGTCATTTTGCAGAGAGAGTGAGTAGGGTTGAGAAACATTTTGACAGTGTCTGAAAGTGACAATTTTCAACAGTAATCAACCAAAAAATCATGATGAAGGTGTATTTGAAATAAAAAATGTACTATAAAAAAATGCTTCTGTGTTTCTGTTTCAAAGACTTGTAACTGTGATAATTTTAGCATTTAAAATTTCCGTTAATATTACGACGCAAACTGGTGCCTGAAGCTCATTGGCTGAAGTTGGATGCACAAGAGCCCACCCATCTTCTTTCCACTATGGATATTCCTATTGAGTTTGGTACATAATCGATGTAACACCTATAAGATATTGAGTTCGTATGTTCTGATTGAATCTCTGTTTAAATATTGGTAAAAAAATGTTTTCCAATCATATTTTGGCGCGAATTTCAATAGAAGCTGAGAAGAAAATTAAACACGAAACACGCGTTTCTCGTATCTCTACAACAGATTGTCCTAGAAGACTGAGTTTTTGGGAATCATCGACATTCCTTATTCTTTCACATGAGTATCTCGATTAACGATTTGATTTGGGTGCACTTTTCACCACCATATTCGGCTATGTCCTTTGGTAAAATTCGAACCGTTTATTAAGAAATAATTGTTTACAAAAATTAAAAATTGCTTGCACGAAAATTATCCGAAAAGTATTCATATTTTCGAAAAATTGTTCATGGCCTTTTTTCAAAATATTTAAGGAACAGATTTCATTCAGGCAAAACTCTATATCTTTAATATTTTAGTTTCAGAAAGACGCAAGAAGTTTGCAATTTTCAACACATTTTCGAAAATTCAGAACTGTCAACAAAAATGAGACATGCACCATTGTCTTTAACGTTCTTCACACTATACATCAACAAAATGTAATTAAAATCGATGAAGACTTTTTTTAACATTTTGAAAATGTCCCAGGGTCTCAGGGACTCCAAAATTAAAATATCGATTTGAAATTTAACGGGTCCTGCCATCAGCCAAATCGATAGGGGAATGTGAATTTGGGAGAAAATCGCCTGAACGGTTTAGCTGCTAGCGATGTTCACACACTGACGGACAGACAGATGTTTTGCCGTCAATCAATTTTTCGGTATAAAGGACCCAAAAAACATGGATTATGGCTACACCAGGTGTTAATGGATTTTTCCCCCAAATTTATCATCTGGATTTGTCCAATTTTTGCGTTGCCAGGGCCAAGTAATAAATTTTTCTGCCGAATATTCGCCTCTTTTGGTCTATTATTACGTAACTTTCTCTCTACTGCGCAAGCAGAAGCAAGAAAATGAAATGAAAGCGTTTTGAATGGGTGCCTACTGTAACTAGGAAGCACGACGAACTTAAACGGTGTGAAAGAGTGCGCTCTTTCGATCAGTCGTCCCGATATCTTCCTTTCGAGTGCAGTTGCTGAGAAAAGGACGTATTTAAATGTGTGATGTCGTGCGTTAAGTGTGATTTCCTGCTCTTTTTAGTGCAACAGACGAGAGATCGGGAGTTGTACAGCACATGCATCGCAACGGACCTCCGGGTCGATCCATGACAGAAGGCGATCTATACAAAAGTTTTGAACTGAAACATCTTGTAAAAGTCCTATCAATTTCGAAGACTTAGAGAAGGCAATAAGACCTAGAGCACTGCCAAGAGGATTACGGAAGTACTACTGATATACATTTGGCACAAGTTCTGAGATGTTTCTCCACTCTTCACATTTCTCTCTGAGTAATATCTCTTCAATGTTTACACTCACTGGAATTATAATTTAAAATAATTAATATTGACAGTGTGATTGCACTAGGGATATTGCAATACAGAATTGTTTCCTGTTCCCCTTCCGTTCAAATATTGGCTATGAGAGATTCATTTATTTTTGTATTCATAGCAGGCGTTTGGCGAACGCAGTGACACAGTTTTACAATAGATGCAGGCTCCTCAAGCGATCCGTAAACTTATATAAGGCCATTTACGTGTAAGAGGCAGA